GTCACATCAACATTTTTTTTCATTAAACTTTCTCCCCTTTTTCTACTTTCTTCATTCTTTCATCTTTTATCTAAAAATAACCCTTTTTTTTTTTTTAAAGTATGAAAGAAATACAGCAAGTGTCCTTTGTTTGCAGCTTATAGGGAGCCAGAAGAAAGTAAAAGGACCATTTTTTCTGTATTCTGGAAATTACCTTTTTATCTTTACTTTTCTGATAGTTATCATTGGACAGCATAATGTCATAAAATACTACATGGGAAAAGGTATAACTTTTAAAATACCTGATTCAGGGAGCACTGTAGATTGCTGCAACACTATTAATACAGTAAGAAAGTGTATTTATAAATTAATTTAGGAAAAGAAATGCAAAGTGGCTTATTTGTTGCACTACTTTTTTTTAACATCTTGTCACATTTGTCACAAATTATATCAAGCAGACAGTTCTGAAGACAGTAAATTAACTCTTCACCAGATCATCTCCATAACAAAAAAAGATAATCCCCTTCAGCCAATAGTTTGGTCTAACATAAGCCTTTTAATAATTAAGCAACCGAAGATTTTAATATATAATTTCATAGGGCATTATCCAGTTTTGATAAAAACAGTATGTTCTCTGGTTGTTGGTCAGTGGAACTCAGCTTTAAGCTCTCTTTAAAGTGAATAAGGTGATGTCTTTTCAAATGTGGGGCCTGTCTGAAATTTTTACCACAAACTAAACATTCAAATGGCTTCTGTCCAGCATGCATTAGGTAATGTCTTTCAAGCTTAGAAGGCGATTTAAAGGTTTTAAAGCAGATACTGCATTGATACAATTTGTTAACAACTTCACTTTTTTCAGTAGCTTCAGAAAAATCATGCCAATAGCTGTAACAGCTTTGCTCTGTTTCCAGCAATTTACTACGCAAATACGGCTGTGTGTTTCTACTGCTGGTGTCAAGAAGAAAGTCCCCTGACTCGATTTCAACTTTGATTTCGGCTGCTTGGTTTGACTGAATCAGCTCAAATTCTTGAAAGCCAGATGCCTGTGAAGGTGTTTGAGAATAACCCAAATAACCCACAGGCTGAGAAGACTTAAATTCAATGCGATCTCCCTGATAATTGAAAAGTTTGTTCACGTTTTCAAATTCTACCTGGCAAACGGGGCTTTTATAGGGTCTCTTTTCAGTATGGGTGAGCTGATGTCTTTTTAAGTGAGCTGACTGTCTAAACGTCTTCCCACAAACATTACAGCCAAAGGGCTTCTGTCCCGTGTGTATAAGATAGTGTCTTTGAAGTTTGGATGAAGACGGAAAGATTTTTTCACATCTGTCACATTTACACACTTTGTGTCTGTTATGTATATTTTTAGCAGAAGCTGAAAAAGCACAGTGAAGTACTTCTGGGTTATCAAAGAAACCATCATCTGATGAACTATAAAAAGCGTCATCTTTATTATGCAGTGAATCATCGATGTTTAACATGCTTTCACCAGTAAGCATTCCTTTTAAATTAATTCCAAAGTCATGAGGTTGTGGGTGCTCTTGCCAAGGTAATGGCACAGCAAATGTTCTTTTCATCCGATTACTAAGTGCCTTGTGCATGTCAAGCTTGCCATGGCAATTCTTGAAAGGTTTAGTGGAAGCATACCGATTAGAACGCTGATCTCTAGCTGCAACCAGGTCAGGACTTTTAAAGTGACCTGATTTTTTTTTTTTTCTGTCAGTCTGAGAAAAATCTGTTGCCTTTCCTCCAGTACGCTTCAGCTTCATCAGGATCTTATTTTTCATGCTGACTGTGTGGCTGCATGCTGTTGTACCATTATTTGAACTTTTGCCATCTCTCAGATAACAACATTTGTGCAAATTTAGAACCTGCTCCGTTTCAAAACACTGCTCGCATGCTGGGCACTGAAAGGGTACAATATAAATCGAGTGCACATCCTGCGATTCGTAAGTGTCAGCATTCTCAAAACTATCCCTCTTTCCTTCCAACAGGTTCTGTGGTCTGGGGTATTTAAGAGTCTTTGCTTTGTATAAAATATTGGGGAAAGTCTTATTTCTGGCATGGAGCTGTTTGTGCTTCATGAGTTTGCTCTGTATTTTAAACCCCTTCTGACAAAAGCAGCACTGAAAAGGCCTTTCTTCTGTGTGTGTGAGCTGATGGATTTTCAAGTGTGTTGACTGTCTGAAAGATTTACCGCATGAAGAACACTTAAAAGGTTTCTGGCCAGTGTGAATAAGGAAGTGTCTTTCTAGCTTAGATCTTGATGGAAATGTCTTGTTACATGATTCACAAGCGTGAGTTTTCTTTCTCCTTCTGGCACCATGTAGATGATCTGCCTTCAGGCACTGATGCAGCATCCACCTCTCTTCAGTTGTAAAAGATTTCCAGCACATAGAACATCGAAATATGCCATAAGTGACCTTGTCTTGCTCAAAATTCACAGAGTTTTCTGCTTGCTTGGTATCATTCTGGTAATTTTCATTATGAAGCTGCTGATGCTTTAAGAAAGTGATTAAGTTTTTGAAGTTTTTATGACAAACAATACACTTAAAAGGTAGGTTATGGGTTAACTGATGCCTCTCCAGGTGGACTAGCTGCCTAAATGTTTTATGGCATACGTGACATTCAAATGGCTTTTGACCAGTATGTATCAGATAATGCCTAGCTAATTTTGATGGAGTTTCAAACTGTTTACAGCAAATGTCACAAATATATGGCTTTTTCTTGGGTATCCTGTCAGCTGTTACACACTGCTGAACTTTTAACATTTTTAAAAAGCAATTATACCTTGCCTACTGTTAGTTTCTTCAGATAAGTATTTCAAGTGAAATCATCAATTGCACACTAAGATGGAAGGCTGTAGAAGCAGCAAATTTTCTTAGGAGAGATATTCTTAAATCCCACAGGTCCCTAAAATAAGAAAGAGAGTATTATTTTAGCCTATATTAATACATAATTACCTAAAATTGTCTCATTTTCTACATAAGAGACCAAAAGCATCTAGATTAAAATACTCCTGATTTAACTTAGCTTAAAATGCTTTCCTCGTAACAGAGTAATCACTCATTATGTTACATGATATGGAAAAACTAGACTACTTTCCAGAAGAAACAAACAAGTTTAAGTCATCTGTGCTGTAACACAGATATTGTTTAGTGCTACATGTTGCTTCCAAATAATATACAGTTCAGCTACATTATGATATTTACGTTATGTACAAATAAAGCATATTCTTAAAAAACCCACAAAAACTTCCTGTAGTAAGTTTCTCCCCTACAGCAGTAATTTTAACTCCCAGATATAATATTTACGAAGATGAGAGAAAGAGGTAAGAACTAGGGATTCTTGGGCTTCAAAAATGCATGTAGTGTTAGTGAGAAGTAAAAATTAACAATACATTGAAACTAAGTACAACGTTACTATTCACATTTCTGCATCTTATCAACTGTATCCAGAAGAAACAGTAGCATAATCATTTTTGCTTTATCTCAAAATGGCAAACACCAGAACCAGTCAGCAAGACAGCAACACACTAACCATAAACTATGACCAGAACAAGGATACTCCCCAAAACAAGGATGAACACAGGCTACGTTCACTATCTCACCACAGAGCTAGAATATCAGAGTTGTGATACCTAACCATGTGTATACTCTGAAGTCATCATAAATATAGAGGTCGTTATCATAATTCATCATAATGAATATTTTAGTCTAAACCAAAATCATGAAATAGTCAGTTTTAATTTTCCTTGAATTTTCAACAGACGAAACGCACTTGGGCATGCTACCGTGTCTCAGCTAAGGCATGATGACTTGCGAACAAAAAACAACTTTGCAAGTACCTGAGTGCATGAAAAGTTATTAAAATATTCATAAGAACAGCTAGAAAGGACCTCAAGCAACCATTTAGTCCAAGCCTTCCATTGTGAAGCCAACTCATGTCTAGACAGCCTCCAAAGTGGTCTTAACAACTTCTGCTGAAGGAGGTTCCTTAACCTCAGCAGGGCTCCTGCTCCAATGCGTCACCCTCTCACAAAGAGAGAGCTTTTCCTTGCACTCAGCTGAGCCTTTCTTTACTACGAAGTTATTTTCATTGTCCTTCCCCCATGAACCTGGAAAATAACTAAAAAGTGTTCTCTGTCACAACTTTATGTATTCAGTCTCCTTTCTTTTTTTTTTTTTTAAACTAGGAAAATTCTGTTTTTTCTAAGTATTGCTTTAAGTCCACAAAAAAAAAAAAAAAAAGAAAAAAACAACTGATTGGTCTTTTTAATCGTCTCTGGACTAATTTAAATTGGTCACATCCTTCCTAAATTGCAGCATCTAAGACAGATTAAGTATTCTAGTCCACAAGAGTAGTAAGAACAACAGAATAAAAATACTTCTATGGTATTACCTATATCCCCTTATAAAAAAGAAAAAGGATGGAGGGAGCAAACTTTAAAGCAACAGCATAATAGGACTTGTAATAACTTTGAGATACACAATACATTTCTACTAACTATAATTTGTGGTATTTTGATACTACAACTCACAAGTTGTATATTCTTTCTACATACCAGCAGAATAAAAATTAATTTATTCAGTGTCTCTAAAAGCCCTCTCTCCACAAAGAGTTAGTGTCTCTAGTTCTTAAAAATTCAGAAATATCTGAAAAGTCCATTCAAAGTCATTGCGAAGAATAAAAGCCTACTGCAATTTAAAGCAAGTTACAATGAGATTCAAGACATGCACAAAAGACTGAAAATATCTGGTGAATCAAGATTTTTCTCAAGCTTAATGGAAAGAAACCTGGTCATCCGGTAGGATCATTCCACCTCTAATAGATATGTTCCTATATAATTGTGGGCCTTATTTAATAACTTTTGGATGTACGCCTTAGATACAGTTGTCACTACACTGAGGAGTTACCTTATCTCACTGAAATCGTTCAGGATAGGACTTACCAATGCTATGAAGCAGTTGAGAAAGTCAACTTTTCCTTTCCTATTCTCTTTTCCTGTAGAATTTAAACAGCTACTCAGTTTCAGTCGTCTTTTGAAGATGCAAGAAAACACAACACTCTTAGGAGACCCCCTTTTCCTCCCAGTTGTCACATCATGTGAGGGCAGGGAGTTTAGAGAGAGTAAGTGTGTGACACCAAATGTTTTCTAGTTTGTGCTACCGTGAAGCTAGAGACAGGTAGGCTGAAAAAAGGCAAAAAGCTTCTCTGCTATGCTGGAAGTTTCTGTACAGCTCAAGGCAGCCTCCATTAACAGGGAAGGAAAACCTCCTGAGAAAGAACTGTAAAAAGACTGATGAATTTTAGTTAACATACTGTCATACAGATCTAATTTACACATCAGGAAAGTGCTCAAACAGTATAGTGACATGCAAAGAAAAAAAGTCCGAAGTAAGAGACAGCTGTGGCATATTACACACGGGTTTTTGTATTTAGCTTATAAATTTTTTAAAGATTTTATCTGGTGAATGAGGAAAATGCTCTGTAGTACAAGGCGTCAAAAGCAGAGTAGAGCTTCTTGCTGTGGTCGTCTTGCCCTGTGAAAGACTAAAGGCTCAGATGAGGTAAACTTAGGGGATGCAGGGGAAGGAGAAAGGAGCTAAGATGGGCATTACTGCGTGGCCCAAATATATTTTCAAATCCTATTTACTAAGGACAGACTTCTCCATATCTATTTCAGGGTGCTCTGTGCCTTGCACATCTAAGGAATAAACGTGCTGCTGCCAAAGATCAAAGATCAAAAGACAAGCTTGGAACATTGTCTCCTGCCAGCCTTGGAAGTACACAGGCTTGTCCTAATTAGAGTCAGAAAACGTACTTCCCTATGTGATAAGGATTTAGTTTGTGGCATAGGTCCAAGTTAATATTAAATTGACACTACTTTCCATCTTGGCTGCAAGGTCATGCAGAGAAGTAGAGTCAAGAAGTAATGTAGGCCACTGAAGGTCCACAGAGGACCCTCCTGACTCTAGTATTATTTAATGATTAAGTAAATATTATGTTTATTAATATTACAGATGGCAGCAAGCTGCAACAAAATGAAAACATGATGGAAAAAAATTCTGAATTCTAATTCAGTCTTTACTAATCAGAGACGTTTTTCTTAAAACAAAAATAAAAAAGCAAAACGGAAAGGGAACTTTAATAAGAAGAAATGCAAGCTTTTCTATTTAGGCAGGAATAATCAACTGGAAGGGGAACAACTTACTAGGTTACAGTTGTGCAGAAAAGACCTAGAGTCTAAGTTGGAGCAGAAGCTGAATGTGCCGACAGCATGCCATCCATGCCAGGATGCGTAAACAGAAAGTAAAGTTTTGATAGCACATAAATCTTCCATACTACTCACTACTGTTTAGAATTCAGCTGCAGCACTCTCCAGTTTTGAATACTGCCCTTCAAATCAAGTCAAGTATATGAACTACTTGGAATGAGTCCAGAGAAGAGGATCAAGAATGATCAGAGCTTAAATGCGCAATATACAGGAAAAGATTAAAGTAACTGGGAATGTTTAAGTTAAAATAGAGAAGGCCTGATTAAAAGGAACAAAAAACCCCCAAAATAAGACCAAGTGTAAGAGCCAGCTTTAAAGAAAACAGAAACAAGCTGTTCCCCAAGCCATTTATAGTTGTGACTAGAAATTGATTCAAATTATAGCAGAGAGGTTTCAAGTATATTATCATCCTTACAGTTGAGGAGTTCTTAATGAGCACACACATAAGTCCTGTAGGGAGATTACTCTGCCTCCAACACCAGAGGTCTCCAAAAAAAGGTTGTACAAACATCTCTCAAATTCCCACACCCATATAGTTGACCCTGAACAAGATGAATATTCTGGCTTGTTTTCCTATGATTCATTAATATAATTCAAAACAAGCCACTGAAGAATTGAAAGTTCAATATATATCCAAATTTGCCACTGAAGGATTCTTCCGCATTGTTATTAGTGTATCCTCTGACCCCTGAGATAAGCTAATGCTTATAGCTTTCCAGACACAATTACAAGAAAATTAATTATAATAATAAATGTGTGAAGAAACATAAGATGCCTCTTGTAACATTAACTACAAAACAGACAAGTGAAAACCTAGCTGCTGATTTATGAAACCCATACAGCATGCAACAGAGAGAGGAATCTGAGCACTGAGACAAACACATTGCACGCTGGATTTCCTCACCAGCTTTCCCTAGGGAAAAGTTTAGATTGCTGCGATCCGGAACAAATTTCACCAGAAATGTAACCTTCACCTGTGGAAATCAACATCACGCATTACGGCTCCTCTGAGCTAACACCTCTCATTCTCCCCTATTCTCCATGTTTTTTTCAAAACATTTTCTGAAGCAAAACAAAATAGAAGATACATGATGGTGAAGCGGGGCCGGTTTAAGAACAAACCTAAGTTCTGCTGAAGGGGCCCGGGGCTGACACCACCACCACACCCCCCACACACACCCCCCAGCAGGACACACTTGAATCCAGCTAAAAACTTAAAAGCAGTTAGTGAGGCGGCTCTTACAGAAAGCAGACCGCGAACAGGCACACAACCGCGGGCAGCCTTCCCGGCGGAAAGCG